TGAGCAATAAATACAATGTTCTATACGTCTAATCACATTTTATTAGGAGTGACATGTTTGATATTGGACACCTCTTGACTGCAAGGAATGAGAAAGAATAAAATATATTCTAGAAAATATTTGTAAGAATTCGTGTTAAAATATTGTTGCGTCAGCGAGGTCACGTGACTATGTCACGCCACTCCTTCTCTCGAACCTTCGTGAATTGTCGGGAGATTACTAGATATAGGGTAGCCTGGTATATATATATATAAGATGGTCACAACGTGACGGGATCAATGTGTGTAGGTAGTGAGTAATTGATCTGCAGTCAGAGAGTATTTTTGAAGTTAACGTTCGTTCGTTATAGTGTTTGTTTTAGCGCGAATGTTGAAATTAAGTGCATCATAAAGTTATATTCGGAAAGAATAAACCAGTTTTATTAAGTAAGGACTTGTGTCGCTAAAGTTTCGTCGGAACGAAGTTACGGAAAATTAAATAACAAACGGAGACGTAACAAATTGGTGTCAGAGAGTGGGACAAAAAAAATGGAAACAAAGAAGCGGAAAATCAAACTACAGCATAGCAGACTTGATGGCAGCAATACAAGAACAGCAAAAGAAACAAGAAGAACGAGAAGAGAAATTACAACAGTTGTTAGAGGGAAAAGAAAAGAAACAAGAAGAACGAGAAATTAAACAAGAAGAGAAATTACAGCAGTTGTTGGAGGAAAAGAAAAGAAACAAGAAGAACGACAAATTAAACAAGAACAGAAATTACAGCAGTTGTTGGAGGGCAAAGAAAAGAAACAAGAAGAACGAGAAATTAAACAAGAAGAGAGATTACAGAAGTTTTTGGAGGAAAAATAAAAGAAACAAGAAAAGAGACAACAGCAGTTGCAAGAAAACCTGCAACAGTGGCAGCTCGAGCAAAAAAATAAACAAGAAAAGAGATTACAGCAGTTGTTAGAGGAAAAAGAAAAGAAACAAGAAGAGAGATTACAGCAGTGGCAACTGGAACAAGAAAGGAAACAGGAAGAAAGTCAACAGCAACTACAGGAAAATCAACAACAATGGCAAGAGGTACAAATGGGAAACATTAGTAAATTTAAAAGCGAATTAGAAACGTTAAAGGACGATCTATTGTCTCTTACACAAGGAGGATACATTGACCATCGACTTAATCAGCCCCAGACAATGGCAAGCCCATTACAGAGCCCGCAGCTAAACCCTAATACAGACATATTCAGTCCCGTTAGAAGCCACATCCCAGATATGAATGTTAGTAATAGGAGTGATCCAGTGCGAAGGAAGCCACAGGAATTCGATGGGAAGGCACCGTGGGAAGCATATAGAGCACAGTTTGAATTACTGGCAGAGATGAACGGATGGACAGAGGAGCAGAAAGCAGTATATCTGGCTACGAGCTTGAAGGGACAACTACTGGAAATACTTGGACAGTTGACAGCAGCGGACAGACACAAATATAATGTACTGGTAGAGGCTCTGGAACTCAGGTACGGAACTCAGAATCAGTGAGAAGTCTACAGGGCTA